TTGCACATGGAGGCGTTTTTTTCTTCTTTTTTTTATTTTGTCTTGTCCCATGTAGAGGAGTAACTTACATGTAGTTTATGCTTACGTTTGCGTACTGCCCTTTTTTTTTTATTTTAATTTTTTTTTTTTTTTTCAGACATGGGGGCAAAACAGCTAGCTGCTGAAATCCACCTGTTGTCCAAGTGTGCTTACTCCAAAACGGCGGTGACGCATGTGAGCGAGGAGATACACCGAGAGCAGTTCTTCCACGCACGGGGGTTGAAGCTGCTCAGGTCCTAACCCACCAAGGACACTTTCACCCTATTAGCAAATTAACAGTTAACGTACTTGCGCATTTTTCCAAACTTAACATGCCGATTGAATTTTTTTAAAAAGTGATTCAAGTACACGTCCTGCGGAGGGGATTGGGGTAGGGAGAAGTATGCAAGTGGGTGACATGCTTTTGCGGAGGGAAATCTTACCGTATATCATCCCGCTGTGCACAAAAGAGGACCCTTTTTTGTATCACTTCAATGGTACTTACCGAGTAGGCCGTATTTGCGCAGGACAAAATGACCTTGTAAAGACGTTCACATTTTATGTTAATAATTTTTTTTATTAAAATTTGAGACAGGATTTTGTAGAGGGCGTCATTTTCGGTGTGGCTCTCCTTTTTGGAGTAGCCGTATTTGTTTTTGGTGATTCTTCCGTTGTGGCATCCCTGCAGTTGGGTGAGGTGGGTCATCATGTGGTGAAGCGCAGCTGTTGCTACCTTTGGCCGTTACGCCTAACCGCGCAACTGCTTAATCGCGCAATGGCTTAATTGGTGCTTCCCTTTACCTGAATAACTTGAAAAATGGTGAGGGCGTAGAACAAGTCAGCCACGTTGTTCACGTCGAGGCGCACTAGGCTGTTTGCCCAGAGCGGCAGGGCTTGGAAGCTCTCCTTCAGAATGCGCTCTTCCGCTTCACGCAGCTGCAACGGGGGGACAGAAGGGAGAGTTGCATGTGTGTGTAGAGATCTAAATGGTGTGGATGGGTAGAGGTAGCCGCCTGTACAAGTGGACGAACCTGGACCTGGCAGAGGTGAGAAAATATGTGAGCGAAATAGGTGCCATCTGTGAGGTTGAATTTGACGTCTGGCTTAGATTTAATGAACTCGTTTATATCACCCATCGTGACGGTTCCTGGCGCGTCGCAATAGTTTTCGTAAAACAGGAAGCTCAGATTGGAGTCGTCAAAGGGGCGTTCCCGCTGCTGCTCCTCCCTCTGCTGCGTCCCCTGATGACTCCTTCGCATTAGCCGGTCCACGAGCGCGCGCTGCTCCCGGCTGACATTTTGCGCATTGTACTTGTGGACGTTTTTGTCGCGGTCCGCTTGGAAGTTCACCCGTTTCATGAACTCGATTTGGGCTGGGCTCTTTTCACACACAAAGGGGAAGGCAGAGAGAAGTTTCAACTCGATGAGCAGCACGACGTGCTTGATGGTCTCCACTAGATCGGTGAAGGTTTTGTCGGAAGGACGCGAGTCGTAGTCGTGGGGTACAAGTAACATGTCATCGTCCAACTTTAGCTTCTTTAGATTTGAGTTGGCGTCGCAGTTGAAGGGGGCCAAGGGGTTCTTCTCCCTCTCGGGTTCAACTGTCCTGTGCACATTTGCACTTGTGTCGTCTTTGGCCAGTTCGTCGTTTCCGCTTCCATTTCCGCTTCCACTTCCAATCCCATTTCTAATCCCATTTTCGTGTGTGTGTGTTTTTTTTTTTTTTTTTTTTTTTCCGCCGCTACACTCCGATAGAACATAAGTCGGGGGAGAGGTGTCCCCCCCGGAGCGGCCTCCTTCCGTTTGCCCCTTGTGGTCATAAATGTTCAGCGTGGCGTTGTGCATATCCACATCCAATTTTGTGCTAAGCTCTTTGCTAATGGCGTAAAAGGATTTTAGGAGAGGGACGAAGTTGGCATCCCCCCTTGGTGTGTCCTTCAGGACTTGCTCAAAAAGGTAGTGAAACAATTTGGAGGAGTAGGGCCTGTCCACAAATGTGTAAAATTTGATAACTCGTGTAAGATGGTATAATGTGTGGGCATTCCTCAAGTGGCCATATGCCTGATGACCACACACGTAAAGTAACAGGAGCAGCAAGTCTGCATCGATCATTTTATATTTTCTAAAGGACAAAGATAAGGAGATAATATCGTCTGAGTGTATTTGGATCAGATTCACATGTGTGTCATTCGCGTGGGATTCATTTATTACTGGTTCTTCTACAGAAGAGGAGTCTAATCGAGTGACCACAACGGTCCATTTATTATGGTGTGTAATTAAATGAGTTAAATATTTGTAAAACTTATTCACATAATAATAATTAAAAATATTAAAGTACATGAGAAAGTCAAGAAAACGTGTTATCTGATGGACAGTCTTAATTTTGTGCATATCGAGACACACCTCTCTACATACTAATTTGCAAAAGTAGGGGTGATAATAATTTAATGTCTTTATGTGCTCTGTCAGTAGTAACAGGTCGTTGATGTTGTACAGGTCTTTTTTCTTTATTACTATTTCGATGAACTGAGAAAAGAGGGGAGAGAATAAATTGACCTCTACACCTCTCCTCGAACAAAAATTAAACAATTCCAACTCATTGTAATTTTTTATCATTTGAAGAAGATTATATTGTGGTAAATTATTTTTAAATGCTGGGTTTGTATTTTTGTAAACCTCAAAAAAGGGAAAACCATGGCTGTTTATTTTTCCTTTTTTTTTTTTCCTGCTCTCGTCTATTTTATGCTTGTAGTATTTACACACGTTGTTTCTTTTTTCTACCTCATAGCTGTTCACAAAAAATTTATTGTATTCAAGTATTTTTCCATCCAGTACTTTATACTTGGTTTTGTTATTTACGAAGAGGATTTTCTTCCCGATTTTCTCGTTTTCCCTTTTTATTTCGCTTAGGAAAGCCTTGTACCGCTCCATCGCATTGACGCCCCTCCCCGGGCAGTAGGAGGTGTAAGTGATCTAGGCAGTACAGTTGTGACTGTTTACGTCACTTTGTGGAGAATCATCACAAGGAGGTAGGGTCCCCTGGATCTGCCATGGGGCGGGGGGGAGTTTTCCTAAGTCTCAGGCGCACACGTAAAGGCATCCTTTTAAAGGATATTTTTTTTTTGTTTTTTTCTTTTTTGGCATCTCATGATCACTTGGCAATTTTGCTGACCATGTTGCCCACCGCGGGAGGTATTTTCTCACACGCGTTTATTGTACACCTCCACCCCTCTGTGGCGGAAAGGAAAAATGAACAAAAAAGGGACGACTACACAGCAGGCTCTGCACCCATGTAGCATCGAACTTGTGAACGCCCCTACGACGCGGTGTAAGTCCCCCTTTACGGTCGAGAAGGAAAATATTTCACCGCACTGGAAGAATCACACCCACATGCTCTGCAAGCAGGAAGGCGAAACGGAACAGCACCAACGTCAGGCGGGAAAAAAGAGAAAAAAAAATTCTGCTGCTTCAGTACACCCTTTGCATAACTCAAATGCTGCTTTTCCTCGACGTCTGTTTTCCTCTTTTTTTTTTTTTTTTTCTTTTCGTTCCTTTTGACGACAACCCTTTAGACTTTTACAGCTAATTATCAGCTAGCTATTTGCAAAAAAAAAAAAAAAAAAAAAAAAAAAAAAAAAAAAAAAAAAA